TATATTTATTTATATGTATATATATTTATTTATATGTATATATATTTATTTATATGTATATATATTTATTTATATGTATATATATTTATTTATATGTATATATATTTATTTATATGTATATATATTTATTTATATGTATATATATTTATTTATATGTATATATATTTATTTATGTGTATATATATTTATTTATATGTATATATATTTATTTATATGTATATATATATTTATTTATATGTATATATATTTATTTATATGTATATATATTTATTTATATGTATATATATATTTATTTATATGTATATATATTTATTTATATGTATATATATTTATTTATATGTATATATATTTATTTATATGTATATATATTTATTTATATGTATATATATTTATTTATATGTATATATATTTATTTATATGTATATCTATTTATTTATATGTATATCTATTTATTTATATGTATATATATTTATTTATATGTATATATATTTATTTATATGTATATATGTTTATTTATATGTATATATATTTATTTATATGTATATATATTTATTTATATGTATATATATTTATTTATATGTATATATATTTATTTATATGTATATATATTTATTTATATGTATATATATTTATTTATATGTATATCTATTTATTCATATGTATATATATTTATTTATATGTATATATATTTATTTATATGTATATATATTTATTTATATGTATATCTATTTATTTGTATGTATATCTATTTATTTATATGTATATCTTTTTATTTATATGTATATATATTTATTTATATGTATATATATTTATTTATATGTATATTTATATTAATATATATTTATTTATATGTATATTTATATTAATATATATTTATTTATATGTATATTTATATTAATATATATTTATATAAATCTATATATATATATATATATATATATAAATACAAATATATATATTAAATCTAATTGTAAAAACTATAATTTTTTTTATATTTTTTTATTAGATTGATAATGGAATTAAATATTGGATTGCCAAATGCATCCTAAGCATAAATGCTCACTTTATATTTAATTTAAGTTGTTCAAAGATCATATGGGATGTAGCAATATCAATTGGAGATATACCATTGACAATTCTCATATTTATATCGTTTTACCTTATTAGTATCTAACTTATTAATATTCTTGTTGTAATGGTGTATTATTGGTATGATATAAGAGGGTGTCTACATAATAAAAAGGAGTTGTCTATCTAGCATTTTTCAATATTTATTTATGCTAAAGAAACTTGTATTATAAAATTGTTAAATTTAGAATCTTTGAAGTGTTTTTTTATAACCTATTACATCTATAAACATGTGACTAAGATAATTTATTCTAATTTTAAGAAGATGTTTAATAATAAAGATATAATATTAGTAATTATAAATTTAGCTTAAATATAAAATCAAATTAAGTTTTGATCATTTATTTTTATCTCCAAGTAATTTATATGTATTTATCAAATTAAATAATAAAATAATTTAATTATAACATTAAATTAACTTATATACCAATTTTAGCTATGGCTAGTGTGGTAAAGTAAATCAACGTTCAATTTTAGTGATCTTATTCTATAGCACCATTTTTCACATTCCAAGAAATATAAATAAAAATTAACCAAAAAAAATGACTCAAATGTTAAAGCCCAATTGTTTTAGTATACACTCAATAGCCTATTTCTTAGTTATACATTGAATTCGTTTGTATTATTTCTTACAACATACTATCCACTGCACATAAATACATCATAGAGGACATCTCAAACACTTACAAGAAAATGTGTAGTGACAAACAATTTTATAATCTTGGTAAAGTTACATGATCAAGGGCTATGACCAGGAAAATTGAAAATATTGAAAATTTAAAAATAGTGACGCCTCTTGGAGCATACCAGAAAAGTGCCCTGTACAAGAGCACAAATTGATCTTGATATTTCTCTATGTTCCAATAACTGCGGATGACAACATTGTCAACAGAACCAACCTTCAGCAATGAAATTTCTGACAGATAAGCAGCTGTAACTGTCCAAATAGGGTATCACCATCCTGCTCCTTTACGAGGTTGGATGTGACAGAAAAGCGAACCATGACATCTCAATTAATCCAGTAACCCACATAATACAGACAAGAAACATTATTTCTCGTGAGGACGCAGAATGCAACACACCGATCTGTTTGGAAGGGCCAAAACACGGCAGCGACGTCATAGGAGTGATCATAATCCCATAACTGAAGAAGCAGGACAAGAGTTGATCCGAATCCTTGCTTTAGTCCCTTTCTTTTGAGACATGTTGCCTGTTGCGAACCAGTTCTCCTCATAAATACGAATTCAGCCTTCCACCTTTCAGCTCAAATCTGAATATTAGAGCGCAACTCTTTAACCACCAAACAATTATTTCCACAAATTCATACTATTCAGTCTGAATCCCAACTTTGGGTTTTATTAGCCAGAAGGCTCTAGGAGATCATATTGCGCCCAAATACTGTCAACTGGACATGGTTGATGTATATCTAGCCGCTGCCATGGCTTGCCACCTCCACTCCAGTGTAGCAAGCTTGCAGGTTCATTACGAGTGGGTCTGTTTCACAAAATTCAGGTTGTATCAAATCCTCAACTCCTGCCTTGGTTTTGCAAGTTAAAGCATCACGTGTATTTGATAGGAAGAACTTGTATACAAGATTTTCTCTAATTGTTTGAGACGGAAGTGAGATTGGTGCATGATTCTCGAGTGGCATAACAGCATAAAGAGGTGCATTAACTTGAAAATCATTTACCTACAGTCGCCTCTAAGAATGTCGCCTCCAAGGCCATGTTGGTTCCAGCGGCTGTCAATAGCCTGCAAATGCAAATAATCAGATCTTTTATTCAGATTCACATATGTAATAGTGGGTGCTTCATAAGGTAGCTCTTGATCACTCCAAAGGACGTAGTAATCAGCCATTGTTAAGTGTACAAAATACCTTGAAACAACTACTTTACAAGATATCTTTAAAACTACGATAGAACAAAGAAAATATTTACCTGAATGCTTCCAGCAAACGTGAGCAAAAGCGGGGGCAGAGAGCCAAGCTCGTAAATGTGCCGCTCCTTTTGCACCTGTTAATTAAAAGTGCCCGTCAGGCTTCCCAAATTCTCAAACCATGCATCTTCTTTCTAAAGCCCTAAGCACCCAAGAGCGACACCTTGACTTTTGTGGCAAGGGTACTTCAGCACCGGAAGATTCAGGTCTCTTACACAACACTATCAAACAGCCATTCATAGATCAAATGAGGACAAAGAGAAGGTCCAGACCTCCATCCAATATTCAAGAGTGGCTGTGCATGCTTCTTTCCGCCACCTGTCCAGATTGATTAGCATCACCTGCAACATTAGAAAGTGAGAAATCAGATTAGAGAGAATCGAGCAGATCACCATCGTAAGTTACAAAGCATGCTAGAAGCATTTCATCGCATGAAAATGTGAATTTTTTTAAGAAGACTGGCTTTTACATTAGGGTGTTACAGTCACAATCAGAAAACACAGGTAGCTTTGTTATGAGAAACGTACCCCTGAATTGAAGTAGCAAGGTTTCTTATTGGCGAAGATTGATGCAAGTGAAGAATTTCTCCAAAACCTTTCTGTGAAATACTGCTCTGCAGACGAGAAGTGTTAGATTTGCAAAAGTTACAAATTAGGAATAAAAAGGGCAGAGCTTTGCTACTTCTAAATCAAAGCCAACACCAAAATATCTTCAACTGACTGGCATACTAAAGAGCCACAATTTGCAAGGACTTTATTGGCTGGAACAAACTACAATGCCAGTAGAGAGAATTGGATGCTTGACTGAGATATAATGAGGTCGATCTCACACCCCGGAAAAGAACAAAAAATGAAATGTGTGAACTGTAAGATACATACAGAGTGAAAATTCGCATGGCAGTACTCTGGCGTGCCCACGGTGGAATTTCCCATGTTGATCATCCAAAGCTCCTCAATTCTGTACAGAAAAGATTATAAAATAGGGTTTTTCTAAATCAGTAATTAGATCAAGCGCTGCAAAATGCTCTATGTGCTATATGACATCAATCGTAAGTGGAATATCCCAAACAAGGCACTCAAGAAAAACTAATACAAAGTTTCAACATAAGCCTAAATCAGAGTACATGTTAGCCATACAGGATATTACGAGTTCCACCACCATGCAAGGCACTGAAAATGGTGGTTTATACACCTGTCTATGACAAGAACATCTGAGTCGAGGTAAATAATTCTTTTGACACATGGGTCAATCATGTGCGCCAAGTAAAACCTTGCATAATTGAGAGGTTCCTGAGTGATGGAGACATTGAATGAGTAGGTAAACCCAACCAGTTCACAATAAAAAAAAATACATCATACGTTTACAAAATGATGTGCTCTTGCGCATACTATTATCCGAGATCAGGCATGTCAAATAACTTAAATAAGATGAGTTTATTCAGGCAGGTAAAATATTGAAATAAGAAGATACTTTCCCCTGCAGAAATAGCCAATATCAGAGAGCAGCCTAGATCATTCATGACATCTCACGTATGAGATTACAAGTCGTCTGAGGCATGTCAGCATAGAACAGAAAAAAATGATAAAGCCTAAGGGATCAATACCTCTAATGCATGTCTCACAGCATATGAAATGCGTGATTTCACCAAGGACTCATCGAAAGGGTATGTTTGGAACTGCAAGAATGGAAGTGTCTCTGCAACCACCTTTTCCAGCTTCTCCTGTAAAACGATCAGTTCAGGGAGTTGAGATACGAATAACACAATTATTGGCAAAGAAACCTGACGAATGCAGGAAATCTGATATACTTTACCTTCCCATTCGTTGCCACAAAGTGGAACCGAATGTTGCCGGAACACTCTGCATGCCGTAATATGGAGTAGATAGCCTGTAAGCAAGAATGACGGCTCAGATATGCTGCTTAATTACGACGGTTTGTAACTATCTTCAAAAAGAACTTTATAGCTGCCCAATGTAAAATAGAATGTTCAAAATAATAGTGAAAGATTTTTAATTTTTTTAATTTTTTTAAATAACACTCATTATATACTCTAAATTGTTTGAGTTCTAAACAAGATTACAACAGAAAATGCCAGCGATGCACAGGCTGAAGACTGCAGAGTATAGACTTTCACTCGAAAGGTGCAATGTCTAGAAGTGCTGTTGAGTTAATTCCATAGCATAATGAACAAGTTAGCAGAGCTGACAAGAAAGCCATTGTATAGATGAGATAGAAACCATACCGCCATAGAACCACGCAAATAGTTGATATCCAGGGTCATTGCTATGTGTACTAAACGTTCGTTGCAAAAGCTCCCCTGCGCCTCATTGTCACAATTTGAATCAATGCACTGGCTTGCATCAGAACAGGTTCTGTTTGGAAGCGAGACAGCTTTTCTAAACCTTGGAAATTGAGACTTCTCCAATTGCTCAATTGTCGATGATGGCTTCGTAAAACGCTCCTGATTTTTGAGCTGCCTTTGCCTGTTGCGGTTTCACGCAATGGTTTTTAAAACACGAGCAATTACCGAGTAGATATGATAAATGATGTTCTACTTGATCGATTGAGACGGAAAGAGCCGCAATGAACAAGCACATCATGGTTGAGACAATCAAAACTGAACTTTGTGGACAAGACGTAGTGCAGGAGTTTTGAAATAGCTTCAGCTTCTCAGCCGCTGGAGGCTAAGAAAGACAAACTCGCTGCTGCCACCTAGAAGTGACGACAAACAATGCTTACAAATTGTTTGCCATAACCTCAAATTAACAAACAAAATCAACTGGAAAATACTAATAAGAAGCCAAATAGACTTCATGAAAGGGTCGTACCCTTGAGCCAGAGGAAGACCCTCGTTTGAATAAGAAACCAAGTCAGGCAGAAGACCTATGTTCGATCTGCTTGAGGACTTTGCAGCTCGCTGTACTGATGGATGCGGATGCTCCCCCACTGATTCAACCCCTAATAGCTGGCCAGTCGTGGATTCATACTCTGGAATTTTCACAGGCCTTGTTGATGCACTTTGATTACTTCTAAGAGACTTGGGATGAAACCTCTTAACATCAAAAAAATGTCCTAATTTGCTAGTAGTTATGCTCCATGACGTTGAGACTCTGGTTTTGAAAGGAATGCCAGTGTGGACTCTACGGTATGCTGGAAACTGTGGCTGCGTTTGGGAGGTGGTGTCGACTCCATTGAAATCTTGTGCTGCTATTGATACCTGCAGGACAGAACATCGGCTGTTAGAATGGAGTTAACATGAACGACATCACCAGATATAGCTAGCTTGCAAGCACACACTGGGACGGAATTATTATAGGGAAGGCGGAATGCACAGTTGGAGTAGTTAGAGAGTATCTACAAAGGTTGAAGTTCGTGAAAACTTTATCAGGTGTATCAGGCAACAGATAGGGAAGTGGTTGGTAATTCCTGCTTCTATACCTACTCGACTCATAGCGAGTTACCAGTGAGACCGCCCTGTAATGCCTGCTCCCTAGAGATGTAGAGAAATGACCAATGATCTAGTTTTAAACTGATAGCTGCCAATTGATTGGAAGACTATTGCAGGAGGTATATATAGCAACCCATGACTCGATACGCGTAGTAATGGAAATTTCTACAAACAGCGTGCAATCCTTCCTGAAAATTTACTGCCTAAATGGCACCATGATAATTGTGAGCTACAGTGTAGAAGTGTCCTTGCAACTGCTTTCAGTGCTGTAGATGTGTAACATTAGACAGAATTAGATTCGTCGATGGCTTTGAACTTAATGAGAATTCTCGCTAAGGAATCCCTATCGTTCAGTTCTAGCATTTAACATCACTATCGTTGTTAAAAGTCAGGACACATATTTCTGTAACGCTACCTTGTGCAGTATATCTAACAAAGAGTAGAGGAAGATATGAACAACACAACTAACCATCAACAACACACCAAACTGGCATAGACTAAGGGCCATAGTTTCAGTGACTTAAAACCCTGCAAGCTTCATAAACTACAAAGAGTAGGGTTGAAGCACCAGTAAGTCCCCGCTTTCTATGACAAACAAGCCTTGAACACAGAAGTATTCAGGGATGATTTGATCCGAGAGCAAATTAAAATTCTCGAAACTACAAGACACGCCTAACCAGGTGCACCATAAAATAGTAATAATGACCAACATGTTCACCGTTTCGATTCATCATCAGCCCGGCGTCAAAGACAGCGACACAGAGGCACAACTTTTAGTAACACGTAGTAAGGACAATGCAGAAGTTATTATAAAATGGATTGTAGAAATGAGAGCAGGTTATTCTGTACTAGAGATGAAACCAGCAGTGGAGAATAAAAACAATAGGATGGAAGAAGGTGTATAAAAAATTGTGGACTTGCCAGAAAAATGGTAACTACGATCGCTAGAGGAAGCGTCGTAAGCCACAATTGCGTCGAGTGGCTCTGACGATACTCCGCGACATCAGGAGCCGCAGGTTGGTCAACGAGCATGCAAGTCGGAGTGCGCAGCCCTAGTGAGCAGCGATGGAAGCCAGGCATGCAAGGCCAAATAGAGACAATCGCACCATTATGCAGGTTCTGCCATGGCGGCAGCAATCGCCACATTGTAGCGCTTGGTGCCATACCTATCTCCACGTTGATCAACACGCGCCGGGAACCTTCATCCCAATGTTATTGTGCCTGCGCTCGTGTACAACCTGGAATCATCTCTAGCTTCTGAGCATCAAAACACCTCACAAGAATGTCGTGCTCTTGATATTCTTCCTATCCTTTGTGCTCTCTATGAAAGCTTCCTTCGCTTCCAGATGATTAATCGTCAAATCCGACAAAAATTATTCGGCACTAATAAATATCTGCACAGAGAATTGCAAAAATGTCACTTCGACCCTTCAGGTGCATGGTAGACCCCCCTGGGAACGCTTCAAGCGAAAAGGAGAACTTCAGGCGTTCACGAAAGGAAGCTGTAACTTCGAGCAATGGATACCGGCCCGAGCTAGGGCTTCAAGCATGTGAGGCTACGGAATGAACTGTCCACTTAATCGGTGCAAAAACATACTACATACGCACTAACAATAGTAACGCAATAACATCAAACTGTGAAGAACGACGACCAATTATTGCAGTTATCAGCCACGCGTCACAAACGAAGATCGATCGACGCACCTCACAGGGAGGCCTGCATTCTGCAACACTGTCGCACAACTCGAATCGATCTCACAGAGGAAACATTGATACGCAACAGAGTCCCCTAATCAGTCTTCGAAGAGATGCAAATTATTGATTGCTAAGACAAGTACGCCAATAGGAGCGAAGGACACCAACTTAAATCAGCTCCATCCCAGGGCTGATTAGAATATGGCCAACCACCTATTCGGGACGTCAGCGCATCAGCAGATGTGTCGATTGTAGCCGCAATTCCATTCTCGAAAAGCCAAAATTGCAGAGAGAACTTTACAAACACAATATCCCTCTGGACCAATGACCTCCGAAACAGCGACCCGAACGTCCACAGCAGTCTCCAATGATTGCCCGGGTCAACCTTTATTGCACAGAGATCACATAATGCAGCATTTCCGCCCTGTCTGCAAATGACATCGAACCAGAACCACCGCCACCGGAGACGACCATCATTGTTCCACCCCGTCCAGGCCCCGCCCGCGAACAACTGCCTCTGTAGAAACCAACGGACTGGTCAAATGTGCGCCAGGAAACTGGGCGAGACAGTGTTCCACCATGCGCTTCTGACGTGCACCATGAACAGTGAGTCTTTCACTACAAGAGCTGGTGCGATCGACCAAGCCATGCCGCAGCTGCGATGCCTGGCACGGTGTGCGAGGGAAGAGCAGGGTGACACAGAAGAAGCCACAGCCACGGCACAAATCCGTCGTTCGTTCATTTCTTCGTTCGTCCAATCGATGGCTGCCGCGTTGAAAAAAGCTACCTGGACGCCAACGACTTGCCCTACCGTCGACGAAGAACGAACGATTCATTCTCTGTGTCCACCTGCGCCCCGTCGCCTTCGCCGGGGGAGGTAAAGCCTACAGCGGACAGCGTCACGACCGAATGGCCGTTCCACCGATAACGAGGACTCAATGTCTGGTAATCCCCAAAATCTATCTTCAATTCGTAGATTTCACAATCACTCATCGCACAGAATCTTCTCAACTACTCTATGAACGAGGTCATTATAACAAATCTGCACTAAATCTCAAAAAATGAAAAGTCCTTTATTTATTAATATTTACAGCTCGGTTTCCTATAATTGGTTTTCCAAGCTATAAGGAGGGTATGACTGTGGGCAATGATTTTCACGGGCAAAGCGTACCACACCTTCCAAAAACCTTCAGAGAAAAAAAAAAGGTCTTCCTGCTATTTAACAAGAAATATATTGGAAAATTTTGCATAATAATTAATTACAGCTAGTAGTGAGAACTGACATTAACATTATCTGATTTTTTTTTTTTTCCTGTCTGTGCGTACTGGTTAGTACAAAGTCGTATCTACATTATATTCATTTTTTATTTGAATATTTCCCACATAATGAAAATCGTGTGAAAAACTGGAAATTAACAAAACCGTGAGTCACTTTTTTATTCCTCAAAGGAATTGACCCCATACTCACTCGTGGGATTTTATAGATCAACGGAAAATAGTCGCGGATGTAAGCCAGGCTTTCATCCGCGATAACAGTTCTGGCCTCGTAGTTCAATTTCCTATATTTCGGATTGTTGGGAGGTACGCACTTCCATGAGGACGAATGTGGATGGATGGATGATTATTTTCTAATCCATTGTCATCCAAAGTCTTTCACTGAACTATATATTTCGATGATATTTCATAAAATAGTAATATAATGTTTTTCGTAATTTAATTACTCTAATTTTTCTCTATCTAAATAATTATCCACATGAATATATATACACACATGACAATATATTGAAATGCTATGGTTTTTATTGTAAAATATTCTTGCTGTCAAATTTTTTGTCCACCAAATTCACAAAACCAGAATACAGTCAATGATTATTTTATATATTCTATTTGTTAGAAACCAACTATCATCTATGATAATAATAATAATAATAATAATAAAACGAAAAATTGCAATTAAACTACTACCATCTTTCACACTCTTGAATATATTATTTTAATTTTTCTTCTGAGTATAAATATTTAAATTACTGTGGATTGTTATTATCATTTTTTTCAACACTTAAAATCACTTCGAAATCATTTTAATGATTAACCTGTAACACAGGGTACATTAAAATTAATTCACAAAAGCAATTTGAATGGTATTATTAATATTTGAAGTGATCCTGGATCCAAGTCATATTATTATTATTGGATGACTCGCAATGAGCCATTAACTGCAGCCAAAAAAGCTACACTAATTTACAAGTAAAAGTACTTGAAAAAAACAGTAAAAAGTCATAAACTTTAAACTATTTCTATGACCATTCTAACTTTTTTGCCATTTAAGCTTTTGACCTGTTGACTTTACCAAATCACCTAATCATCAATCATGCTCTATTTTTGCCTTTTAAGCTTTACGTATCATCAATCATACTTACTTGAATACAAAAATTTGTGTTCACCATGGTTGTTTTTGAAATGCATGGTTGTGTGGTCACAACAAGGAACGAAGAGGTCAATTATAGTTGACCATGCTTTTTCAAATGCAATTTGACCCATCATCAATTAATTTATTTCGAAAAAAATATAGATAAATAATAATAATAATAATAATAATATGAAACATGTTAGATTCCTTAGAAAATCAATGTCTCCAATCAAGCTATTTACCTTTTTGGGTACATTATTGTTGCTTGATGTCCTTTTTTATTGACCTCCTTTACATGATTTTGCAATTTTCTTCCAGTAAAATGCATGTATTTCTTTAATTAAAACAAAGAAATATTTTAAAAAACGAACGAGAAAGTAAACCTATTCCGAATGCTTGGAGTCTCTTCCGGGTCCTCACAAGAGGGCCCATATGTGCACGCAAGACCCCCACTAAGTCTTCGATCCCAGGTCTTCTTCCAAGTCCTTTCCCAGAGGGCCCGGCAGCGGACTGAAGACCTTCCAAGTCTCCAGTCGCTGGCCTTCTTCCCAGTCTTCCGAGGAGGACTTCGCTGGCGCCAATTATCTTGTTGGGCCATATTTTTTTACTACTCTTCAAATATTCATTTGATAATAATAAGATTATTATTATTATTATTATTGATTAATTTATTTATTTATTTATTTATTGCTTTTCGGTGAAGTGATTGCAAACAGATGAAATGCCACTTTACACTATCTATTACTGTACCTTACACAACACTAAATTATTATTTCAATTTCAATGAAACAATTGTACGAAATTATTGATCAGTTGAAAGATTATATTATTATTTTTTTTTTCTCTGTCTCTCTCTCTCTCAATATATATATATATATATATGCATACATGTTATTTGAATAGTAACCATGTTTTAATCAAATATCCAGAAGGACAAAGTTCGTAAACAATTTTTGGATTTGAACCCTTTCAGATTAAAAACAATAAAGCTGGGTGATATTTCACTTAGAACACCACCAATGAAAATTTACTGTTTTACATCTTGAAAATAAACTTAAACTACATCATTCAGTTTTGACACTTTTTGGTATTTTTATACATGTAAAAGTAATATCCCCTAAATACCTCAGTATTTTTTATTTTCGGTTTTCCATTTAACACTATTTGTTAATGAAACAATTGTTAAAAAAATTCTAATCAAAAAAGCTATCATTGTTAATTTTAAGTTTAACTTTACATATTAACATGAAAATGCATCATTAACATAACAATATTAATAAGCTGTTGTAACCACCAATTACATATATATATATATATATATATATATATATAGAATTAACAAGACATGTCTAGCATCTATATTTTTTTTTTGTAAAATGAAAGTGTAATAAACCAATTAAAAATTTGATATTTACAAAGGCCTAGAATAAAATTAGAAGGAATGAATTGGAAAAAAAAATGGCTGAACAAGAAACAGAGATTACAAAGTGTGCAACAGCATGGTTCTTTTCGGGTTTCTAAGATTTACATGAACGATTTTATTAGTAATTGAGGATATTATTATTCTAATTATATATATATATATATATATATATATTCTATCATTTATTATTGAAAAATTCTACCGAATTATTAAAAAAATATACTTTAAAAAACAATAACAATCATGTATTTTGGAAATTTTTAGTATAAAAAGAAGACATAGTTTATTTACTACATTATATATTATTTTAGAAAAAAAAGGTCTCTTAATTTTACTTTCATAGAATATTGTGGCAATATTAACATAGTTGTGAGCTTATAGAAAAGCTAAGCTTGTATGTGAGTGTGTTGATGCATAAATTGCTCAAAAAATAAAATAAAATAAAAACATTAAAAAAGAGGATATTAGTGTCTTGTCATCACTTTATTAAGGACAAGTGTAGAATGTTGAACAAAGTTTTAAAATCATGGTGGATAGTAAATAACAGAATTATAATAGGTTTATGAAACTACAAAATGCAAGCATATCTGATGTCATAGAAGTGTTAGTGTGAGGCCTTAGATATATGTAAAGTTTTAAGTATTCTGATGTATTGGATGATAAACAATAGGTTTGAGATGTTAACAAAATATGAAACTTTTCAAGTGCGTATTGTCTGTTGGGTTAATGACATTTATCAATTACAGAGATTTGTTGATAACATAAGCACAGGTTGTTTTTCATAGTATTAAAATATATGTATATTTGATGAATTAAATAATAAAAAAAACATGTATGGTAAAATTACAATAAATGATACAATTGTATTGGATACATTTTTAGATCTATTTATTTTTTTTGAAATAGTTTTTTTTAAATCAAGTATTTTATTATGCAACTTTGCATTAAGCTTAAAATATACTAGAACATATATAAATATATATATATATATATATATATATATATATATTACTTTAAGTAGATTTTAAATTTTAACTAAGTCTTTAAGCATTTCCTTTTTATTCCTGATCATGTGTACTTTTTCTTTTGGTCTTACTCAAGCTTAGAAGTATTAATAAATTTTTTACATCCTTAAATTTTAACTAAGTTTGAGAAGTTACTTTGATTTTATATAATTAGAAGAAAACATAAAAATATCCAACATGTAAAATATGTAAATTTTTTAGAGGTAAATTACATTTACAATTTCAAATTTTGATTTACAACATAATTTTTTTAAATAAATGATTTGATAAAAATAAATAAAAAAGAACACAATCAACTAAAAATTAATTAATTTAGAAAAAAAAGAAATTAGAGAAACAGTTGCTAAGCACAAAGAAATTAAATAGACTTAAGAGAAAATTGGAATATGTAAGAGGTGCTAAGAAAGTCTTAGATTTTATTTTATTTTATTTTATTTTTAATATTTTTTAAAAAATATATTTTAATGTATTGTTTCTTAATTTAATTTTAAAATTTTAGATTTTTTTTAAATGTGATATCTATCTCTAAAATTATAACTAAATATTAAGAGTCTCTTCTTAAAAGTGCAAAATCAAATGTGTTTTTATTGTTTATCATGTTTTCCAAGAAAAAAATTACTTTAATAAATCTATATTTCAAGTTTATATATGTGGCATTAAATTTATAAAACCAAAATAAATAATCTATTTTATTTCTAAATAATGTTTTAAACACTACCTTCTTGTTAATAATTTTGATTTATATATATATATAGATAGATAGATAGATAGATAGATAGATAGATATATTTAAAATAATATGAGAATGTTTGCTGAAGAATATATATCTATATATATATATATATAGGAGAATGTTAAAGTAACCCATCTTTTTGTTAAATCGACCCACCCCTAGTTCCCAACTCCGCTCCCTTTGTTCCCAGCCCTCGCTCCATGTTCCCAACACTTGGTCGCAGCCCCCGTCGAAAGAGAGGAGGGGAAGGTTTGCTGGAACAGAGAGATTGAAGATGACCTAGCAGGTACATTAATTGGCCCAAACTTATCGTCCAACGGCTCCTCAATGCTCAGTGCCTCGCTTGTGAACACCCACTGGGAATGCAACATCAGACTGGAAGCTAATGTCTCGAGCTCTCCGTAATTCTCATCGCTAACCCCTAAACCTTGTGACATGAATGCGGTCGAGCGAATTGGCCAAGACAGTCAAAACGGAAGAAACGAGATGATGTCATTATTCTAGGTTTGTGTTGTTGGAACTGCGCAACACAATCTCACCGGCATTCATACAAGTTGTGAATCCAACTTACCTCCTGTGTTGCGCTGCTGTTTTGATTCACCATGGCTAGCCTTGGGTACACTGTGTGCCTCTTGGTGACTGGCATTAATATTCTCCGCAGAGCTCGCGCAATCTTCCCAAAAGATCCCCGAAACTAGGGAGGAAGTAATCGCTAGCTTTGCAAGCTGGATTCAGAGAGTAGGAGAGAAGCATGACGCTTGGGAGAGAGCTGCCAAGTCCGCTGCCACCGCTGACGAGTTTGCTAGTATGGTCGGCAAAACCGGGATTGTGGTTGATCAGAGTGGAGCTGGAAACTTCAAGACTGTCAATGAAGCTTTGAGTTCTATCCCGGAGCACAGCAAGTCACCGGTCTTTATTAAAGTGAACGCCGGAACTTATAAGTGAGTGGCTCTGGCAGCAACTGAAATCTCCCAAACAATAATAGCATTGGATTGCAGACATTCTCTAAATGTGTTAGTATTTATGCGAGGGATGGACGAAATCGATCGGATGAGGTGATGATGGGGCAAGCTTCGCAGGAAGTTCTGGGGGGTTTTAATCAAATGTTAAGAGAGAGATACAGGCCATACTAGTTCGGTACCATCGAACGGGTTGCTAGGCTCTCTTGGCATTCGGAGGGGATCTCAAAGAACGGATAGCAATTCAATCAGCTCCAAGTAGTTTTTTTCAGAAAACAGACGCGGCGCAGTAAGGGATGTGTATTATGTTTCAATGTTTGTTGTAGATCACGACGGGATCCATAAGGGTGGCGTTCGTCATTTCCTGCAAGGCACCGGAAAGCTAGTAGGGAGGCGGAGCCCCTCCAACCGGAGGAGATTTCTCTGGAGGTGATACCTCATCATGTTAGTCAGTCTGGGGTGTCTGTCGAGCGAGTTGCGAACTTGGGGCTCAGAGGGGAGGAGACGGGGTGTCATCTTCTTTTCTCATCCAGCATGCAGCAGCAGTAGTCAGCATTTCTTCGGAAGAAAGGGCCTTGGGCTTCATATCCAGTTCCAGAACCTCAGAGTGTGGCAGAAAACAAAAAGGTGGGTCACTTTAACATTCTTTTATATATATATATAAATATATATATAAATATATATAAAAAATATATATAAATATATATAAAATATATATAAAAATATATATAAAAATATATATAAATATAAATATATAAATATATATTGTTTTTTTCTTTTTATGCTATTTTATTATCAATATCAATATTTTTTATTAAATACATATGAATTTTGATAACACTACTGTATAAATTGGTGCAAATTTTTATTTTTATATTTCCAGAAAAAAACTTCTAAACAGAAAATAAACATTGAATTTATAAAAAAATATTCAAATTATGGTCTATTATTATTGTATAATTTATTTATTTTACAAAGAATTGAAAAATAGATATGTTAAAAAAACATAATATTAATATAGTTGCAAACTCAACAATGATTGAATCTTCAAATGCAATTAAATTTTTAGATATGTTTTACATATTAAAATCATGAATATAAAATTTGAGTATTTAATAAAAAAATTATATAATATAGTATTGATTAAATATAAAACTATCACAAATTAACCTGTTTTCTTCAACAAAGAAAATGAATAACTTTGTATCATTGTAATAAATGTTTACACTACTCAATAAAATAATAAAAAATAGTTTAATAAATCCTCACATGAATCTCTCACTTTTTGAAGAAAAAAATCTCTTTTAGAAGTTTTTTTCTTTGTAGATAGTGAAAAACCTATTAAAATATTACATATTGATAAGTTATTATAAAATGGACCAAATTATAATTACAACCAATTAAAGGAGTTAAAAACATCAACCTCTTACCTTCTTTACTAGTATAACAATCTACCAAGGTAGCCATGTAAGAACTTTCTAAAAACTATGAGGCTTGTGATCTAATTGTCTAAGTTGTAGGTTTCTTTTAATTAGCTTTTAAACATGGAAATTTCTTGGATAAGTTTCTATAGGCATGAGGCATATCTAAAAGAATCTAGACATTGAACTTGTACTTAGGAAGCCTCTTCAATACTTCTTAAAGAAAATACTTACAATATAACATATTTAATTGCATACTATGTAAATGCATAAGTTTTCTAAATGCATGAGAATCCATCAAGTTAACATCTATATATACAAATAGTATTTAAAACCATCTAGTATTTGTAAAAAGCCTTATAAAAAAAAAACATATAATCAAATAATTTAATTTATCAATATTTTAAATACATAATATAAATAATTATTATAGTTTAATAGAATTTTTAATAAATGATATTTTATTTTTCAATATATTTTATGAATATACAATATTGTGAATCTTGTTTTACAATTCTTTTAACAAAAAGCTTAGATCAATGCAACATTAAAGAAAATTATATACTTAGAAAAGAATATTCAAACTTTTTTACAAAATCACTAATTGTAAAAATGTTTATATGCAACATATTTCAAAATAATTTTGAGATCTTAATTTTTTTTTAAACAATTTATGTAAAAGCCACACTAAGATATCTAAAAGCAACATGTTCTTATTTTTGCTATTTGCGACATTATTTCATGTTTTTAGTAGCAAAAGTTGTGCACTAATTTGTATTATTCTTCTGCAAATAGACCAATCTCTAAATTTATTCTATAATCTGACATTGTTTTTTTAATGAATGATTTTGTAGTATTGCCTTTATGGTTATAAATAATGGACAAATTTTGTTCCAGGCTTGGTTCTTGATTGTTTGTACAAATTACATCTTTAAAATTTATAAAATAGTTTTGATTTTAATTTTAAACAAAATGCTACAAAAATTCCAAATCAGTTGTAAAAAATTGTAAACTAAATACAACTTATAATCAACATATAGGTATTAGTTCAAATACTTTAATGATGAATTAATGCAAATAAATAAATGAAGTAAACACTTTTTCTAATTCAATTATCATAAACTATTATTTATTTTAACAAGATTCAATCCTATTGAACAATAATTTTGCTATTTTTGCAACAACCTTCTTGAAGTGCACAAATTCTTTATTACTTTCTACTTCACAATGCACAAATTTCTTTTCTTGCCAACCAACCGAGCACATAAAATTTGGCTACACAAGGACCAAGGGGTCATGGATAAAAAATTGGTCAATGCCCTTTTCTCTGTCATTATAATTACAAATGAACGTTACAACTTCCGCGTGGCTATTAGCTTTGAGAAGCTAATCAAGGTCTCAGGATCTTATTCCCCTTATACAACGGTCGCTGGTAATTGCAGAGTAATCACGAGTAATTGCAGAGTAATCGAAAGCCTTATAGTGGCCGCCGTGCCATATTTCGCTAATAATGTTGAGTAAAACCTCCACAATGTGTTCTCACTCCAAATCATCCAATTGGGATAAATAGCTTGATTATACTGATCCTAAAGCTCAGAAATTTTGTAACCCATCTGAAATCTTTCCAAACTACTTCTGTTTAGAGAAAAGAACTTGTGAGTAGACAAAACCTTAAATTAGTTGACACGTCACACATTTTATGTGAAAAATAGCAACACTGTTTTATTGACAAAAATTGAACTCAATTTACATGCACAACTGTGTTGTTCAACTAGGGGAAAAAGACATTTCTCTATACTACACTGCATCATCTACTGCATGTGAAGCCCATGTTTCGATAAACATACATGATACCGCAAGACAGAAACAATTAAGCAAAAAAGGAGAAACCAAAAAGAGGGCCGGTTCGAGCACACAAGTGATCGATGACTTCCAAGTCAAATAGTTACATTACAAAGGTGAAAGATTCTACTCCGACAGAAAGCAAATTGCTTATCATAAAAACGTTGTGGGCACAAACTTTCCTGCTAAATTATACGGAATATAGTTTCTACACCAGGTTTCTGACGATGCAAAGTCAAGCAGCCATGCTTGAAACGAAACCAGGGGAGACAAAATGCTTCCATAATTATGATCATGCATTTTCTACGTCTAATAAAAGAAGCAACAGCAGCAGAAGAAGAAGAAGAAGCAGAAGAGGGAGGAGGAGGAGCAGGAGGAGAAGAAGAAGTTGCTATGGGCCCTTGTATCTTCCAAAACAGAGACATCCATGCGGCTGAGCGTCGGCAGGAATCATACCTCCTCCTCTGGAGGTGTCCAGCGCTTCCAGCATCTTCACTACATCAGCCATTGCAGGCCGTTTCTCAGGATTCGCATCCCAACACCTCTTCATAATGTCGGCAAGGCCACTAGGGCAGCACTTGGGCATCTCGGGTCTCAAGTTCTGATGCACAACAGCCGAAGTCATGTCTGCAAAGGAAAGGTTCAGATAGGGCATGTCGCAACAGTAAACCTCCCACAGGCAGATCCCAAAACTGTACACATCGCACTTCTTGTTGTAGGGCTTGCCGTCAAGGATCTCTGGAGCCATGTATCCCGGAGTGCCGGTGTCGCCAGTCATGTCCTTGGGGTTGGAAGCCTCCACTCTTGCAACTCCAAAGTCGGCAATTTTCACTCTCCTTTGTTTGTCAAGCAACATGTTCTCTGTCTTCACATCACGATGAGCAATCTTCTGAGAGTGGAGATATGCGAGCCCTCGAGCCACATCCAAGGCGAGTTCTACCACCACTTTGTACGAGAGTTTTCGCCGCCGGTGGCGAATGAGAAAATCTTTCAGGGTCCCGCCTGCAAGGAACTCAACGACAACACAACAGGCATTATTCGGCACATGATGGAATCCGTCGTCACCGTCCACAGCTGAGGGGATTCGCAAATCCGAGTTCCCCATCGATGCCCCGATGAACTTCGTGACGTTAGGGTGGTCGAGCTTATGCCAAACAGCCACCTCTTGTCTGAATTGGTTTCTGTAATATTGGACCTCGGATTTCTTCATAGTGTTCTCCTCGCCCCATTCAAGTAGCTTCACTGCGACATCCTGGCCATTGTATACTCCTTTGTGTACCGTCCCGAAAGTGCCACGAGCAATCATATGCTTTAAAGTGATCTCTCGAGGATTAATCTCCCATTCCTCCACAGGACCAGGAGGTTCTGCACTAGCTGCCTCTGCAGAATTAGGTAGTTTGCTATGAACCCTATTCAAAGCAATGTCTAAATCCGCAAGGTTGACAAGATCTGCACGCACCATACTAGTCTTCTTATGAAGTGCTGCTGGATTTCCCACACCCGTTGTCACTTTCACATTGCCTTCAGTTCTCTCCTTCGTTTCCGGTTTCTCTATCACCCCAGCAGGAGAGTTCCCCGATGAACCGTCCATTGAAACTAAACAAAAGTTGACAGCAGGAGCTCACTTTTCACAATCACCTGTGAGCTCTGTCAACAGGAAAAAAATCTGTGATTACGATGTCAATTCGGTTCACCCAATTCAAATCAATGCAACAGCTGCTGGTCGTGATTAAACAGCCCCTGGAATGAAGGTTTCTTGCACCGAAAGGTGGAAATTGTGACATGATAAATTAGAGGCGTTTTAGGGTAGCAATGAAATTGGCCATTAGACACACCAACTGAGACCAAGTACCCAAACTAGGCTGCACGCAACTTTATCGTCCTAATTTTACACGCTGAGACAAAGGAGGAGGAGATGACCTGCACCAATCCAGTCGATAAGGGTAACCTCCTCGTACACAATGGGGAAGACGACGGAGAGGACGAAATATGTGCCCTAAAGCTTGAAATCTTCGGAACAAGGAACGCAGAGTGCACGGTCAAGACTGATCTCCCAAAGACATTGCACTCACCAAACTTCCTGCATCCCCAACGCGAGGTATAGTTAATTGGCACCAAAACGCTGTCTTATTGATGCATACAATAAATAGAATTCGCGAACCTAAACTACTTTGAACAATAAACCCATCTTCAAATCAACAAAAAGAACTCCCGTGATCCACACACATGTAACCCACGTCAGGAGTACTCCTGTGCAATCTTTTCAATAGAAGTCGGCACAACCCAAAACCATCTCTAATTTTTTTCCACAAAATCTGCTTCGCAGCAGACGATAGGCAACATTCAGTTCAACCCAATTAGTCCACCGGAATCATAACACATACCAACTCCAAAAAACCTCCACACTAACTTGAACCCTCTCTGCAAACTTAGCTCAATCTGTGCAGCAAATCCTCTGACCATCCATAACCCTCCATCCACATCGACAACTTACCTCACCAGATAGTAATTTCGATGCAGTACCCACAATCGCAAACCGACCAAATCTACTCACTCGCTCCGAAATTCATCCTGCTATGCAATCCCACAAGTATCTCGACAGGCCGCAACTCGGGAAAAACCACGACAGCTTGCCTTTTTGCTGCTTTTGCTTGTGGTGCTTAGGTATACGTCTAGTAAGTCAATGGATTCATTTTATGCCACTATTACCACACTCAAAAGGTTTGACTGAGGACAAATCCTCAGGCGGAGGTGCTCAGCTCAATGCACATTGATCGACTACAGTGACACCAGCAGCGAAAGACACGAGCAACCCACAAGTTCGAGTGTCACCGGCAAAACTGATGTCTCAGGTTGCGGCACAGACTACCCGTACCACATCGAAACATGAGTGATTCATCCGGGTGTGAAAAAGACAGCCACCGAGCAGCAGGAGATCGACAACAAGTTCGAGATGAAGCCCTTCTTTGCGGAAGGTCCCACCGGGAAACCACCAGGTGCCCGTAACCCCGTCTGGTACAATCAGACAGGCTACTTACAAGTGCCTTTCGAAGTGCGATCAGCAGGGACTGTGGCCACTGTTCATTTCACCACCTCTACCTACACCGACTTTCTTTTTGTCTGAGACTATCCTTCACATCAATCACTGTGCACAAAGTGCAAAAATTTTATGTCTTATGCGGTGCATCCACCGGAGGCATATTGGCTTTCGAGTAGGACGTTCGTATTTCAAGCTTTGCGAAGGGTTCAGATGATTGCGTAGCCACTCTACCTGTTTCTAACACATGAGAATTTCATCTGGAATTCCGATAACTTGCAACGTCATTGTGTACTCGACAAAAAGCAGTTTTGTGGCAAATTCGGGACAGAATGACCATTCTGATGCTGTTCTGAAGCATAGACAAGTGGACCCACCCAATTCTAGTAACTGGCTTTGGTTGATAGATATATGAACAAAGAACTCTATAAAGGCCTGGCACCCAAGTTCGTGCCCAACCAATTTGTTCTCCTCATCCCAAAGTCCTCTGCTATAGCAGCCAGCCGCTCACTGTATAAAGTATGACCTTTAAATAACAAGTACCACTGACGACTTCGTCAATCCTAGCTCGTGCAAACAGAGAGAGTACACTGTTCACCTCCCCTTTCAATGTTCCACATTCCAGCCTTGAGCATGTAAGTATCAAGGTAAACATCATCAAGAGTGCTGGAATAAGATGATATGGACCAATTACAAAAACAATTGAAAGCACGTAACGGAGTGCCCATTACACAAATCAAGAAGAGTGGGTGGGCCCAATTCAGGCCTTTCCAGACGGCTTCAACCAAAAGACTCCATTGTGCTCTCCAAATTTGGTCAACGACAAAGATGCGAGTAAGTAAGTGCTTCTCCAGTAAAGCTCATTGCGATCATTGGAATTACGCAGCACTGTAAGTTAGAATTTCTAACTCACACCTAAGGCCTGAGACATAGCAGAGCTAATGCTGTCCTGTAGCTCCCTCAAATTCCATATTGGAGAATTGTAAATAACATATTCAGAAGAAGGCTCTACTCGGTGATAGCGCTGGGTGAACCACCTCCACGGCCAAAACCACCACCGCGTCCACCACGGAACTCAGGCCGGTACTCTCCGGGGGCTCCACCTTTCTCTCCTCCGAAACCACCTCCACGGCCACCGCTGCTTCGGTAACCTTCCCTGTCACCACCGAATCGTGGCCTCTCTCCTTCTCTTGGGGGACCACGGGGAGGTCTATCACCTCCAGCACCTCCCATGGGTCTGCTTGGAGGGCGTGCGGACTTCTTCAAGGTTGCGGGGACGATTTCCGAAGGAAGATTAAGGTATGTCCTTAGGTGCTCAATACCATCATTCGTCAAGTACCTGCAATATGAGTGGACGATAACCTGAGTACAAACTTCACCTCCAAGATTTCATACTTAATCAAATACGAAAAAAAAACAACATAAGATCCTTGTGGAAGCACATGTAAGGCTACCCAGCAAAATTTACACACTCCACTTAAATGGTCCTCGCTTAAGGAACGGTAATTAGTTCCACAATTACTTCAGAGTCCCTCAAACGACATGAAGGGACAGAAGTTTAACAATACAAACAAAATACTCACACACAAACCCTTACAAAAGAGGGAGAAAAAAACACTTTCGAACTACTCGTGAATCTGTGGACTGTGGTGAGAGGAAAAAATCTAAACTAGTAGCGTTGCCTAGTACAAATTACAACAGACCTCTTTCAAAAAAAAAAAAAAAAAAAAAAAAGGGATAATATAGGGTAAAATGAGAGATAGAAAACGGCGCTTGTGATGGTGTTCAGAGAATACGCAATTACTCGAAGATTTCAGAGGCTGGTAACCCCCAGATACTCCTGTCAGGAAGACCTACCCTAAAAGAATAAGTTTCATTGGAAGCAGAATGAGATTACGACTGCAGGGAGGCTCTGAAACACCTAAACCACTCATACAATGTGAGATGAATGAAAACTAGCCGAACATTGCAAGGAGAGTGCACCCAAGATTTGAGAAAACCGCCTACTGATATGTTATAACGCCAACGCAGTACCGATGTTGGAAAATTTTAGAACTTTAAAACTTGACTACAGCATAGTAAGCATTCATCATTGCTTACAACACAGTTAATCTGGTTAAATCAATCCAGTTCAGACCAAAAAAGACACCCCTACCAATACCAACACCAGCACAAAAGCAACCCCAACGACGCTGTTACAAGGAACACAACACCCGGCACCCATGCAGGCGAGACGATGAAACTCACCAGTAGTAGTGCCTCCACGCGAAGTTCTCCTTCACATACTCTTTGGATTTGAAGCTCTGCATGAGCTTGATGACCTGCAGGTTCGGCACATCGATCTCGGGATGCTTGGGGGCATTGTAATCCTTTTTAGCGTACAAGACACCCTCCTGGAAGAGATACTTGTAAACCTCCACCCGGTTCTTCTTGGGAATCAACATGCTGCCAAGCTGCTGTCACCGCTCTACGCGATGGGTTTCGCAAATGTTAAGCGAGGGAGCAAGCAAGGCGATTCGCACACTTCGCCAAAGGGAGTTCCATGGCGCTAGGAGCGACACAAAAGGGGAGTCCACTCTCAGAAATTAGGGTTAGGGTTTCAACAAAATGTTCCGCATTTCACGGCAGCTAATTCGTCCAAACAAACGACGAAGATACATCCATCGTTCACATATATTGATGGATGGTGGAACGTCCAACCCAACGATCAACATCCAGGCAGGTGTTGATTTTCTCGACGTTCGCAATGTCACAACTATTCTGGCAAAATTGGATAATTTCACACGGACAATCGTGACGATCAAGTTCAACACGGTCAAGTTTTGAGCTTCATCGTAGCCTGACAACGTTTTGACAATCTGTAGAAACAACAGAGCTGATCACGCACAAGTGCTGTGATCAAACTCTAATCATGTTTACGAACACAACCGTAAATTTTTGGATCTTTCGGGTTACTGCGGCACCACGATTAGCAATCAAAGACGCGTATAGCTTGTGATTCTGCTCGCTCGACGATGTGAGCCCAATGGAAACACACATAATGGTGCGATTTAATCTCAATCTCGTCCCTCTCGCTGTACAAGTTAAAATGAAACGAGACATTCTATCTAATCAGAAACATTTAGACGAGATCCTGAGCACTTTAGGTGTTTGTTATGCGAGAATTAGATGAAGATCAAAACAATAGAAGGCAGTCCTTAATGTAAGCGCAAGAAAAAGGGTTAAGACGGAGACTGAATAATTGTAATAACTGGCTTTTAAAACTACGGCAGACCTAAACTCTCAGTGTCGTCATAGGGTTCAGCATACGCAGTTTGATTAAGCTTTTAAAATACACTTTCATTCATAGTTATTGCTCATGTTACCCATGTATATCCCCTTATTCCGCTCCCCAATCTATGTAACAAAACAGGTTAAATATAAGACAAAGACATAAAGAAGCCCTCTCATTGGCCAAACATGAGAACGGATGGATGGTTGTGTCAGAGATTGCAATGCCCAAAAGCACCGGTTTCTGCTAGTACTTCATCAAGCATCTAACTTTGCAAAGTTGATTCTTAACATAAACCTACTTCTAAGTTGTGGACTATGATTGGTTTAGAAAACAAAGCATGAGTGTAATGAGTTTGTTTGGTCTCCCACTAACATTGTATTAGAATTTTAAGATTTTGTGTCAGTCTTTCTTATCATCTACATAGTGAAGTGCCTTTGAATTTTACTTACAAAAGTTCTAATTTATATCATAAATTTGTCTGTGTCTTAATTTGAATACTATTATTATGAATGTTATTTGTCTTAGTTTTTGAGTTTTGCTTTCGAATGATATGTGTATGAATTTATATAACCAAAAATAAGATTTGAAATAATAATAATTAGTCAACATCAATTGCCTAATTGCTCTTCAAAATTATATGGGTCTATAAAATTTAATAATTAAATATAAATAAAAATATTATAAACAATAATCTTACTTACAAATAAATACATCAGATTTTAAAAATTATTAATGATCCAAGAAGAAAAAAGACTTGAAGTTTTATAGTTTTTACTTAGGTATTTTTTTAGAAAGTTTATTTGTTTATTAGGCTTTAATGTATATATTTTTATGTTTTTATTTATTATATAGATTTTGTTGTTTCTTACATATTAAAATTTATATTTTTTATGAATAAAATTGGAAGAATATTAAATTAATCCACCTAAATCTTAAATTGACCCAATGCGAGAGCATTAGAAACACTTGAAGACTCAAACACTCAAGACTCCTCTTGGCTTTATGTGAACAATATGTACTAAGTACTAGCATCCTATTAATAGAATAATATTTGAAGTTATTTGCTTGAATTAACAAACATGTCACTTAGGTTAGAAAATCCTCTATTGCAAAAAAAAAGTTGAGCTATTCAATATGAGTTTTGGAGCAATTTAATAACATAAAATTATGTGGTGGATCAATATAAGATCTAGATGGATTAATTGAATATGTATTTTTAATTTGTGGTATAATATTAAATTTTGGAATATTTATTTAAAATGCATATATGTATATATGTGTGTGCATATATATATATATATATATATATATATATATAAACATAAGTTTTTACTAAATTAATCCATTCTAACCATCATAAAAATAAATAAATAAACGATCTCTAAATTCATTTCTCCACTATTGGATTACCATATTCTTCATCAAACGTGGGTCTCTTTAGCATGGGTCTTTTTAACATTTCCCCCCTCTTCTCCTCTCTCTTTGTATATATATATATATATATATATAATATTTTTATAAAAATTAAATTTAAAGTTTTAAATAAATTTTTAATGCACTTTTTGTCACACTAATTATTAAATTAAATAAAATATTTTTTCTTTGAAACTTGAAATTGAAATACTAACACATTCTTTAGTTTTAAAAGACTTAATTTAATTTAGTTAGTTTTTAAATGTGTAATTTAATTTAATTTATTTAATGAATAAAATAAATCATTCACTGCACCTTTTCCATAAATATATATTTAAATTTACATGTATGGAATGTAAAAAAGCAATACTGGATAATTTTTAATGCAATGTTAGGAAAGAAACATGAAACCTAACACATGCTATTCATTACATTAAAATTTTCATGGTGTTCATAAAACAAAACAGAATTATTTTTTTTTAATTTTTTCTCATGCATAGTAATTTTTATCAATAGAAACTAATATATTTAATTAATTTTTCCTATTTTATTTTAAAAATTAAATAAAATTTGATATTTCCACAAAATATTTGAAAAATCTACTTGATAAGTGTTCATTTTCAAGTATCGTCCATGCGGAAATGGGTATGTGCACGTAGTTGTCAAATAACCATAATTTATTTGAAAATCTCTACCGCATTAGCTTTAGAAATGCCATAAACCCATGTATTTTACAGTTTTGGCATTTGGATGTCGTTGCAGTTATGGATAGTCGACTGTGGATGGAAGTCACAAATAAGGATGAATCCTGAACGTTTCATTCATCCTTGAGCGAGAATGTGTGATTTCTCTGCGATCCGCATGCAAATTCCACAAGAGGAAAACTGTGGGAGTAGGCGATTGTTACGACCAGAACTGTCATCCTCTCAAACTGAGAAGTTTGCCGCTTCTTAGGGTTGTTGGATCTCTGCTTTGCTCTGTGGACCTCTTGGTTTCTGCCAATGCTGGCGTTGTTCACCATAGCTGTTGATGGCGGGACAGGAATTTTGGCCACAGTAGCCTCGGGAAATCTTGCATTTTTTTATTAGAATCTGAGAGTGGAAGAAGAGGCTTCAGGAAAATTTCCAGTTCGGAATTATTTGCTTTTTTTCTTCTTTTTTTCATCATTTTTTACGAAAGTGATCTTAGCCTGTTTGGCGTTTAATTGGTTTAGCATTGGATTTGTATTTACTTCTTCCTCTCTTTGTTTTCGCGTCGGAGAACTAGGTCGTTCTTGTGACCAATTTTCGAAATTGTTTCTTGTTGTGGGAGTGATTTTGGAACAACCAGTGCAGTTGCAGTGGAGGACCTTGGTCTGGGGTTTAGGTGGTAGTTCGTGGTTTGACCGATGTTGGGAGGTTTGTATGGGGATCTGCCGCCCCCGTCTGCGTCGGGGGATGACGAGGGCTCGGGGAAGAATACGGGAGTGCCGTCGAGCGGGCCTGTGGGAGCCTCTGTGTGGAGTAACAGTAAGCTTGCACCTTCGAATGTGAGAAAACCTAACTTGTTTGCGCCTCCGACGTCGGTGTTACGGAACCAGGTATCAGCAACGAAGCCGAAAGCACCTTCGGCTGTACCGCGAGGGTTGTTAGCGACTTCACGATGGATCACCGATGGGGTGGGTGTTGGCAATGTGCCTGCTACGTCCGAGATGCCAATTTCGCAGCCTGTGCCAGTACAGCCGGCTCTTGTGGCGGTGAGTAGTAGAGTGCTGGAAGAGTACGATCCAGCTAGGCCGAATGATTACGATGAATATTGCAGAGAGCGGAGGCGACGGAAAATAGAGGAGGAGATGCGTATGGAGGTTGAGAGGCGGCGTCAGGAGGAGGAAGATCGTGAGCGAGAGCGTGAAGCTTTGATGAGACAGAGGGAATTGGAGAGGGAGAGAGAGATGGAAAGAGAGAAGGAGCAGGGGCCTGAGCAGCGGGCTGCATTGCGAATTAGTGGAGAGGAAGCTTGGAAAAGACGAGCGATGCTGTCTGCAGCTAGAGTGGCAGACTCAAGTCCAAGCCCCGCTCGAGCAAGGTCTCCATCGCCGCCGAAGAGTAGTGAAGGGTTTAGTGCGAGCAAGACGAGTTCCATGACTGCTGCTCAGAGGATGATGGCTAGAATGGGGTGGAAAGAAGGGCAAGGGCTTGGGAAGCAAGAACAGGGAATCACTGTGCCGCTAATGGCTCGGAAGACAGATAAACGGGCTGGTGTGATTGTGAATGCAGCTCTCACGCCTGCTGCAGCTCCTGTTGTGGATAAGAAGCCGGCTGTGAAAGGAGTTTCCATATCCGGATCTCCCACACGAGTTGTACTGCTTCGCAACATGGTGTGTGGTTTTGATCTTTACATATATGTAATTGATTTGGTCAGATGGTTGGATTGAATTGCATTTGATGTAGGACTGTATTAAGTTAATTGCTAGCTGGAAATGAACTTGGGATAGAGGATGCCAATGAATGCATTGTATGCAAGCATTGATCACGTTGGACAATGTGCTCTCACACTGTAAATATTGAATAGGACAGTCAGATATGTTCCTTCGTATGATCCTGTTTTATCAACTCTTTGAAGTACTGCATTTCGAAGGTCATAAAATTAAACAAACTTCTTAGGTGTTTTACTTTCATTTCTTTTATTTTGAAATCTGTCACTGAATTTTCATGAACTACGTGTTGTCAGGTCGGACCCGGGGAAGTTGATTCTGAGCTTGAAGATGAAATCTCGTCTGAGTGCTCTAAATATGGAACAGTAACTCGGGTCCTGATCTTCGAGATTACGGAGCCCAACTTTCCTGCCACAGAAGCAGTTCGAATTTTTGTGCAGTTTGAACGATCGGAGCAAACCACCAAAGCCCTTGTAGATCTGGATGGTCGATTCTTTGGAGGCCGCGTAGTGCGAGCTAGCTTTTATGATGAGGACAGGTTCAATAGGAATGAACTTGCACCTTTCCCGGGCGAGGTGCCTGCTGCAATACCTGAATCCTGACACAACCAGGGGCTCTTTTCACAATTTTGCTCGTAACATAGACCGTCTTCCTGATTTGAATTAGATCTATCCTTCACTCAAAACGGAGCCTTACAATCCCCTAAATTTACTTGAAGAGGTCTCCATCTATGTATAGGTGCAGTACATTTCATAGACCATGAGAAAGAAGAAGTGTGGGTGGTCATACAACGCAGGATTTGTTGCTTTTTGGAGATGACAATGTTGGAAAGATGCACTTTAGCCATTTGGACCGGAATACTTGTTTACGTTCCAAAGAGTTGGCCTCTGGTTATCACGATCAATCTACGTAGTCAAAGTTGGGAAACTTGTGGTTTCATATGTATTTCTTTATTGTTTCAAAATGTGGTGCAAATCACCCTTCAGATTGGGCATTACTTTTTCTTCTTGTTACGGAGCTCACTAATCCTTGTATGCGCTACCTAATTTTTTTTTCTTATTTCTTTTCAAACTTGGAAAGCTCCCAGAAGCTATGCGTCTCATTTCTGTATTTATTGCCCCTTATCTAATCGGGAAAATATCCGAAGTCGGGTACGTGGTAGTGAAAGTAGTTTCGGAATCATGTACGATAAAGTTAACAATTTCATTAGGTGCTTCATAAACATCTACTGCACGAGAAAATGCCACATGGCAAGCGAGACTGACCAACCAGGCTGTCCAGAACTGGGACGAGATGAAGCGAGATGGATGCAACCGGCACAAGATTGGTCCGGTCGGTACAGATAAGATTCACCAATCGTCTTTCCGGACCTCTGCTGAGGCCTTCCCAATCCCCATCTGAATTCATTCCACCACCGCCCGTCCTCCGTTGTTTCAATATCCAGTTAATCAACATTTGTGGTATTTTTTTTCCCCACCAGTTGTTCTTCGAGTCGAACCCCACCCCAGCAGGTTTACTCCTGCGGTTGACCGGGAGCAAACTATCTCCCGAATTACCCTTTATTCCTCGATTCCGCTTCTTTGGTGGTCGCTAATCCCACTTCCGTAGCTTTAGAGTGGCCATCCGTGGTAGCCTAATGATACAGTAGATTTGAGGATTGTGGGAGGTTCGTTCTTGGCGGTAGAGAGGTTTTTAGGATTGTCAGTTGCGGTTCGTGTTGGCGGAGGGTGTTTTGTTTGTTTGAGAGTCTTCTGAGATTAGGTTTCTGATATAGAGAGTTGTAGCGTTGATGGCAGCTGCGATGGCCAGCTGCCGGGTTCTCGGGGGCGCGGAAGGCGTTGCGCTGCTGCCACTGCAGATTCAGTCTATTGAGGGCAAAAGGCCTGGGAGGTGCAATGCGAGGTTTGTGGGTGGGAAGTTTGGAAGTTGCTTGACAATTGGGCGGAAGAGGACCGCTGTGGTGCAATCGGAGTTTGTTACTGCGACCCTGGCTTCTCGGGTACGGGCTTCGTGTTTCCTCAAGTGGATTTTGGTTCGTCTGGTGTTTTCTCGATTAAGAATGCCCGCCGAGGGATTGGTGGGATTCTGGCCATTTCGCTTGCAGTTTGGAGACACAAAGGGTTCTAGACCTTATGTTTGATTGATTGAACACGACTCTTAACTTTCTTCATTCAAGATCATGTGTTGGAACTGTGTGGGTTTTTTGCCCCTTAAACCTCTCAGACTTAGCTTTACTTCGTGTAACCCTAAGTGAGCAAGAGTTCAAAAATAATGACCTCATTTTGGATAAGCGTTATTGGTTAAGAGTTCTGTTGATGGACAAGGCCAAGTTATTCCGATTATTAGGTGGAATTTGCAGAAACATGATAAAAAATTATGGTCTGGTGGTAGTTGATTCTTGCGGTGAAGTTGGTCGTTCAGCTTTGCATTTGCTCATGCGATGTTTGGAATGTGTTTGTTCGGGGAGAAAACAGCTTTCCCAGCTGCAATATTCATCAGCTGCAAGAGACTCTTCACACTGGAGGCAAAATGTTTATCTGAAAAATATCTTCACCAACGATTTCTGCTCAACTGAGAATGGTGTGTTGTTAACACCTTTTCAGAAAATAGTAATTAACGATATGTAGCGTTGTGCATTTGCCCTGTCGATCAATCGTCACTTCTGAGGGTGATGATGTGATGCATCCTGCGGAATATTGTGTGCGTATCAAGATACATGCTTCGAAATTTATTAGTTTCACTTCTGGAATCGTTCTTTAGAATGGGCAATTCTATTCATAATTCCTAAGAGTTTACTTGAAGTCATAGTACATTTAATGCTACTCGTGAATTTCAGTGATACACTTCAGAGGTGGAAGGTTACTATGATCGTTTGATTAGTCATATATTAGAATACTAATACTTGTGGTTAGACGGATTGACTGGTGGGGCAGCAGGTGAAGATGCAATTTCAAACAGTGCATTGGTAGGTCTTCTCGCCCTGCCTGCCTTGGCGGGGTTCCCTGGTACAGCAAATGCTTCCGTCTTTGAACCAAACATGGCATACGGCGAGGTTGGTGCTGGTTTGGAATTCGGAGTGCAGTTGATCTACTTGGGAGCTTTGTTATCTCTGCTGGCGGCTGGTAGTTTCTTGGTGGTTCGTCAAGTTCTCATCCGCCGTGAGTTAGAGTCTGCGGCCAAAGATTTGCAGGTATAAATTGTGATGCCACGATCCGCCTCTTATACATTCACTAGTGGACACGGAGACTAATTTATAAGTCATTCTAATTTCACTATCAGATTGTTTGTGGAGAAATTGAACAGCAATGTTCGGGCTGTGGATGCGGTAATCCCCTAATTTTCTGTTTTCGATGCACGAGTTCATCGAATTAAAAGGTTTTGGTTTTGTTTCCTGTTATTTGTAGGATCGAGTGCGTAGTGGAGAGGCTTCTTCAGAGGAATTCTTTGAGCTAGGAGCTGTTATGCTGCGAAAGAAGTACTATGTGCTTGCAAACAAGTATCTGGAGCAAGCTATCAAGAAATGGGATGGTGATGAAGCCGACTTGGCGCAGGTGTGTTCCTGAAGAGCTATCCTTTTATACCCTTACTGTTTCATAATTTTTGGATCAGTTTTATGTGTTTGCCGTCGAAAGAAATGCGTGAAACAAGTGAAAGATCCGTGCTCACTCTCTTACGGTGTCTTTGAAATGGGTTTGTACGTTTGCTGAGCGAGTGAAGCAATTGGAGGTAGTATTCTTGGTGTCAAGAATAGTTTTATAATACTCTTTCAACATCACTCTTATCAACGATTAGTGAGAGGGAATTGGAAAATTCCACGTGGTATTTTAGTCATCTGATTGGGCGCCTTTTTTTCCCCTCAAGTCTCACCTCTGGTTTGGAGCTTTCAGGTGTACAATGCGTTGGGCTTCAGCTATTTCAGCGACGACAAGCTCGATGCGTCCATCAGCCAGTACGAGAAGGCAGTGACGCTTCAACCTGGGTATGTGACTGCATGGAACAACCTAGGAAATGCGTATGAAGTGAAAAAGGATTTCCAGAAAGCCCTGAAAGCTTACGAGGAAGCCTTGCAATTCGATCCTAGTAACAAGATTGCTCAGCGACAACGTGATGCTATGAAGGAGCGGGTGACTCGGTTCCGAGGAATCCCTGCCAAAGATTGACCTGTGCCACGTCTCTGTGTCTGGAGATCCTTAGATTAGCGAGGTTTGCTTTGTAGTTCCACTCTCGGCCACCGGCCTGTGTCATCGGCAAATCCCATCTGCTGTACCGCTCTAGCAACCACCTTTTCTGCTAAGAAATATCTTCTGGGCAGTGTGGGCAACGTGAGTAGAGTAGGTAGTACCTTGAAGGCACTTGAAACTGTGGGGAAGGCGGCCACTCAAGTTCTTTCGAGGCAAGACTGTTTTTTGTGTCTTGAAAGGTGTACAATTTTGTAAGCATGGTATGGACTAGACTAATCTCAAAGAATTCCTCTGAATATGCTTTTCACAGGCGCACATGCTTGTCTCTTTGGGGCTGAGTAGTCAGGACGGCGCGATGGGACCTAATCCAGTGATCCACAACTCCAGCTCAAAATTCTCCATCATCGTTGGGTTTTTTTAGGACTTTGTGATGCAGAACTATTCTTTAATTTCGTCTTTCGCATTCCTGGCTGGACTTATCGTTTTCCCATCTCCGTGCACCCACTTCTTCTCAGTGTATTATTATCTCAAATCTTCATAACCTGCGGCGGTTTCGAGTGTACTCTTGACAACGCAGATGGGCGGGATGGATTCGAAGAACTCGTTCGTCATGGAGCTCAGATCGATGCACCGTACTTGCGTCATTGCTATCAATTTAAAGCTCGAACCAGAATAGTGCAAATTGAATTTCCAGACGCAGAATCTGTAACAGGCTCTCTTCAATCGCCCAGAATCTGCTCATTTTCCCGTGCTAAGATTCTCGTCCAGGTAAAGTTTAAGTCACAAATTCGTTGCTATCCTTCAAGATTGGTTCTAATTCAAGCCTGCCTACGTGGAGGCCCTTCCTAGAATTCATATAACTTCTGTATTGCGTGTTGAGTGCTGTTATATATATATATATATACATATAATCATGAATATAAGTGTTGAAAACAACTATTGTTTTTGAAGTGCAGGCATTCTAATTTCACCTGAAGTAGAATAAGGTCACATGAATCAAAAGATGTTTGATAGAAAGTTTTATGGTGCAACTGTTTTGTGAAGTGATTCTTACATGGTGCTTCATTCAATGTCTTCCTAGCTCCAATTTACAGTGAAACTATTTAATAGATTTGTCGGATGATGCAATAGGCTTGTTAGGTCTTGTTCGAGGATAGATGGTTCTATTGTGGAAGGTTTTGTGGAATGACAATTGAGTCTTTCAAATGACTATTAGGTTTATTTTAAAGAATTTTGCAGCAAGTTCCAAACTCACCTATAATGGTGTTTTGGAATGTTTTAAAAATGATTTAAGATATATTTTGCATAAATTGAAAGATTTTTTAGAGAGACAACAAAACTATTTTTACATTTTGATGATGTGTTTCTACAAGTGTTCCAAGAAAATTGTGTCATTCAATAGAAATCATTTGTCCGCTATGAGATGAGCTTCTTAAGATATAAATTCCTAATTTTTGATTTTAAGGATTATTAATATATATATATATATATATATATATATTTGATAAACTATTTTATGTAAAACTATAAATATAAATAAATATATATATATATATATATATATATATATATTTGATAAACTATTTTATGTAAAACTATATATACATATATATATATATATATATATATATATATTTGATAAACTATTTTATGTAAAACTATATATATATATATATATATATATATATATATATATATATTTGATAAACTATTTTATGTAAAACTATATATATATATATATATATATATATATTTGATAAACTATTTTATGTAAAACTATAAATATATATATATATATATATATATATATATACATTGATAGAATAGTAATTTAAATTGTACTTTTATTAATTTGTACTTAATATAATATTTATATATACTATTTTTAAAAAATAATTTAATTTATATAAATCTAGGTATTTTTTACTTGATATTGGATGTAATTAGAAAAATAATCTTACATCTATTTTAAAGTTTTTTTGGTTAATGACATTAATAATTATATATATATGTATTTTAAATTTTGGACGCGCCGCGGCACTTTATTTTATTTTATTTTAGAACTTATCACCACATCCAAAATTTAAAATACATATAAATAATAAAATGAAAATATAAAGTTATAAATAATAAAATAAAATAAAATATTATTTATATTACTATTTATTTTGTATAATAAATATTATGTTTGCTATGATGGTTTTTTAACATATCATTATTAAAAAACTTAATGTCATGTCATGAGTCACAAATACTATACAAATTATGCAGTTATTGTACAATATAAAAAGCCAAGAAGATAAGTAAGAAAAAATACTCACAATTTTTGGAAGCAGAGTTGTTGCGAAGTAAATTTGGGAATAATTATTAATTTGAGTGATTTAATTTTTTTGATGATAAATAAATAAATAAAAAAATAAATATTTTCACTTGATTGTAAGTTGGAGCTATTGATGCTTAAAGTATGGCATGATACACTTGTTGTTAAAAACAAATATTATAATTATTTTCAATGTTTTAATTGAGTAAAAATAAAAATAAATCAATTTTTTTGCAAAAGTCTGTGTTGTGTTTTACTTCAAAATATTGAATATCAAAAGTGTTAAAATCCAGTTATTAAAGTAAGATAAAATGTTCTGATTTCAGTAAGAATACAACATACTCCGAATACAGGATGCAGAGTTGCAGTGACGAGGATTGCATTCACATGATAAGTTTTCTACACTGAAATAATATGTTATTTTTTAATCTTTTCCTAGCGCTGGATTCTTTTCACAGTATTGTGGTGGTGCCTTCTGAACAATATTACAATACCCACAAGGGCCACAAGACCCATCTTCACAGGTCATGCATCTATTCATTCACAGATCTAGACATTTTGATCAACTATTCATTCGCTCACTCTGCCAGTTGAGTGCTTGCTTCTCCAGAAGAGGAGCTGTGGTGTGGGCTTGCAAGCATTCATCTCGCAGTCTGGACCAGCTTTGTGCGTAGGATACCAGCGTTGATAGCCCCTGGAGCTCAGCGATGGCTGCAGGGGCGACCGACACAAGCAGAAGTTCGGTACTTGGTGGAGTTCCAGTGGATCAACACTGAAGGATAAGAGCACGAGACGACCTGATCGACTGCCTGTTAGGGTGGCGATCGACCCGGACCATGCATATCAGTCCGGAAGTGTGGAAGTGGCAGGTTATAGTGTGAGCGTGGTGATGCAGAAGGAGGCGTTGATCATGCAGCTGATCATGAGCTTCTTGTTGTGGATGCGCCTGGTGTTGTTGATTCCGGGTCGTAAAGCTGCCACTGCGAACCGAGCTGGTGGAGGATCACCATTGTACGAGGTTTCGGCAGTGGAGGAGTTTGCTGGCCAACAAGGATTTGAGGCGAAGTTGGTGCTTTCTGGTGGATTCGGAGACGATGCATTGGGCCAGGATATCAGTCCTCTTAGCTTCATTGTCAGGTATCCAACTCTTCTATTTTATTCGCGTGTTCTTGTTTCCCATTGATGTGAGTCACCTGGACCGTGCAATGCTCTGGGTTCGATGATGATGGGCGGTGTGGTCATTCAAAGCTCTTTAGGAAGTGTTTTGTAGTTGAGAAATCGTGAACACTCACCTTACGCGATGGTTCCATCTTAGTGGCGCTGGGCCACCCAAAATCGCTAGTTTATCATTTTTTGATATCGCTTTGTTACAAGTTTCATTTTTTCGTAACGAGGACTGTGCTCTTTTTAATGTGCCATCTTTGAATTATGTACTCGAGTTGTAAGTATACAGATGCAGATTACACAACGTTGAATTCATTTAGTGAGTCTGATGCTCGAATACGTGGATTTTCTGTTTTTGGGTAGCACTGCATCTCAGTCTTACAGAAGATTCAGCGTTCTTGCTAAAGCTGTTGTCATTGTAGTAATCTGAGCATTGAATGAAACGAAAGTTTCCATCAAGCTTAAAATCGAGTCTTATTAATACAATATATATACATTTTTCTTGTGCTCCCATTTCTCAGGGTTGAGAAGAGTACACAGCTGCGAGTGTACATCTCCGATGCCAAAAACCCAAGGTGGGAAATCCCTCACAATTTGATTCCCCGACAGAAAATCGACTCCAACCTGGCTGCATCAACGGACTCTCCATTGCTATTTGTCACCCACACTATCAAACCATTCGGTTTTGCAGTGACCCGAGTATCTAACGGTGACGTGTTGTTCAACTCCACTCCGCCTGGAGACACCTCAAACCTTCTATTCAATCCTATCATCTTCAAGGACCAGTACATTGAAATCTCTTCACAACTTCCTCAGAGTAGTAACCTGTTCGGATTGGGGGAGAGCACCAGGTCAGATGGCTTGAAGCTCAAGCCAAACAGAACCTACACTTTGTGGACTACTGATATCGCTGCCCTATTTGGTGATGTTGATCTCTACGGATCATGGCCATTTCACATTGAGGTGCGAGAAAGAGGGGTATCACACGGAGTGCTACTCCTGAACAGCAATGGCATGGAAATCAGCTACACTGAGAAGTATTTAACGTACCGAGTGATTGGAGGAGTTCTAGATTTCTACTTCTTTCCTGGGCCGACACCCCTGGACGTGGTGGATCAGTTCACGCAGCTAGTCGGCAGGCCTGCTGCGCAACCCTACTGGTCGTTCGGTGAGTGAATGTTTGCTCTGAATCGTATTGTTTCGCTTTGAATCTAGAAAGTTAGTAATGGTTTTATTACAAATAACGCTGCTAATGGTGCAGGGTTTCACCAGTGCCGATGGGGATACCGAAACGTATCAATTGTGAAGCAGGTGGTGGAGAATTTTAGGAAGGCTAAAATACCATTAGACACAATGTGGAACGACATCGACTAAGACAGGTTTCTGGATTTCACTAATGACGAAGAAAGATTTCCACTGCATGAATGGCGTGCTTTTGTCGATGAACTACACGCTAATAGCCAGCACTATGTCATTCTTGTGGACCCTGGTAAGAGTTAATTGAATCCTTTGCTTAACATCGGAAGTCCTCATAATTCCTGCTCAAGCTTAGCTGCGTTCTAACAGATCACTGACAGAATGATTTTAATCAGGGATCGGCTCAGCCTACGACGACTACAAAACCTACTCTCGCGGATTGGAGTAGGGCATCTTCCTAAAGAATGACAAAGGAGAGCCACATATGGGCCAAGTCTGGCCCGGACCAGTCCACTATCCAGATTTTTTGAACCCCAATGCAATACGATGGTGGACAAACGAGGTGCAGCTCTTCCACGACCAATTGCCTTTCGATGGGATGTGGATCGACATGAACGAGTTGTCCAACTTCTGCACAGGAACGAATTGCACTTGGAATGGCACAATCCTCGGTGGTGTTACCGAATGCTATCTACAATTTACTAATACGCACACTAAATATGACGACCCACCGTTCCGAATCAACCACTACGGTAAAAATGAGAAGCTTGGATACCTCACAGCCGCTATGACCTCGAAGCATTGGGATGGGACTCTGGAGTATGATGCTCATAGCCTGTATGGATTAGCAGAATCTATCGCCACAAAAGTTGCGCTCACGAAGGTAAGGAAGAAGAGACCGTTCTTGCTGTCTCGCTCAACTTTTGTTGGATCTGGTGCACATGCAGCTCACTGGACAGGGGACAACAAAGCAACGTATCGCGATATTGGATACTCCATTGTCACAGTGATGAACTCAGGCATGGCTGGGATCCCCATGGTTGGCGCAGACATCTGTGGGTTCTACGACATGGCCTCAGACGACTTGTGCAGCAGATGGATCCAAACCGGAGCGTTTCACCCCTTCTCACGAGCTCATTCTAACAGAGACAACGCCCCGAAGGAGCTCTACCTGCTTCCCAAAACAACCATTTCAGCAAGAAAGGCCCTAAGACTGAAATATCAATTGCTTCCATACTACTACACGCTAAACTATGAAGCGCACACGAAAGGCTATCCGATTGTGAGACCATTGTTCTTCGCATTTCCACAGGATCCCCTCGCGGTTGATGTCTCCTACCAATTCCTGGTCGGCAACCACATTCTAGTATCCCCCGTGATCACAGAGAATGCCACTGAAATTAAGGCATACTTCCCAACGGGCACATGGTAGAACATGTTCGATCATTCTCGGATCGTTAGCAAGGGTGAGCACATCATCTTGCAAGCGCCATGGAACGTGATCAACGTACACGTTCGCCAAGGAGCTATAATTCCGATGCAACAAAATGCACTGACATCAATCGCGGTGCGCAAGACACCGTTCTCACTGGTTATTTCACTACCGAGTGACGCTTCCCTGAGCACCGCTGGTGGCTACGTGTTCCTAGACAACGGAGAAGAGATCGACATGACCCTGCGACGGAATCATTCTACTCTGGTGAGATTTGAAGCTGTGGCGACGCAAAAGAGCGGCGTTATTACAGCAACAGTTGAGCAGGGTGAGTTTGCGTTGTGGGAAGGTTGGATTGTGGACCGCGTTGTGATTTTAGGGGTGGACTCTACTCCCACTATTGCACATGTGACTCAGAAATTGTCGAAAACATCAGCTAAACTGTTCCACAGTGGTCAGAAACTGGAGGTCTCAGGTTTGAAGCTTCTTCTGGGTGAAGCTTTCCAGATACAGTGGGGGTTTTGAGGGGAATTTTTAGTCCACACATGAAGAACCTGCATAATGGGTAGATGGTCCGAGGAGTTGCAGGCAGTCGTGAGCACAATTCCAAGGTAGTTTAGTTACAGAAACAATGCAGGACTGGTGAGAATGCCTCCATTGGGCACAGTTGCATCATGTACCAAATTGTTATTTTCTGCAATTGCTTCATCGTGCACTTCAATATATACTTACATACATACATCCATATAGTATTACTACTTGTAAGTTTTAGGGTTATTCACCTCCCAAAACATAACTTATAGGAGGTTAAAACTTATTAGGTTGAATCAAAATCATGAATTTGCTTAAATATCCACTCACCACTAGCCCAGTGCTTTCCTTCCTACATGCCCAACACTTCTGCATCCGATATAATGTTACACTTCAATGCTCAACAATTGCTAATTTGTAAAGAGAATAATGTGCATCCTTGAATCTTACACATGATTCTTATAGAGTGGACCAAAACCAAGTTTAAGCTTGCAAAAGCATCTTTATAAGTCGTTATTAGCAAAATCTTGAAATGAAATGAGTACAAAGCCATGGAATGAGTACAAAGACTAGCTTCAAATAAAGTGTTCAAAGATGGTTTACTTTTTTGACCTCAAGGAATCACTTGCTCTATGGATTCTACAATAATAATTTAAAAATAAATTGTTATTAGTGGTGCTAATTAAGAAGTACGATTGATGCTTTACAAAGATGCTTGTAATCTCAAAAAATAAAATGGAATTTTAAACGATTTGTTTGAATTTTTTTTCTCTTGCCAGAAGCTAAAAATGATCAAAATACATGAAAAGGTAGGCTTAGCTAATTAAGTTGGTATTGATATAGTGAAGCTTGTTTTGCATGCCCGCATTGCCAATTATGATTTTTACAATGTGTACAATATGGTATCATAGATATACATATTTATTCCAATAATTACTTATATGATTAAATAGAAATAAATAAAAATAGATTAATTTCATAATATCTTCCAGAATAGCTTCTTAGAAGCTTCATAGATGCTTTTTTTCACTCTACACATATTTATAATTAATTGGTAGGCTAGAAACTTGGTCAACAAGTTAGCCACGTGTCACATGTATTAGTAGCTTGTGGAACAAGCTAACTATGTGATGCACATATAGATAACTTGCCTTACAAGTTAAAACATGTGTCTAGTAAAGTCAACATGTATTGGAAGTCCTATAGAATATTGCTACATAGCTCTTAATTAGAGAGTATATATGGATGTAAGAGTGAAGCCTTCTTTATTCTTATCAATACCTTTCTAAACCTTAGTCTTATTTCAAGTCTTTCTAATCTTTTTGTCTTTGATAATAGCCATTTTAGTTCAATATATTACCATCTTTTATTGATTTCTTAGTCTTTTTGAGTGATATAAGAGTATATTAAGGATTTCTTTTTTAAAGATTCATATCTTTGATAGTTTGACAAGAGTACTAACTTATTATTCTTATCTTCTTTTAGGAGTGAGTAGCTTACACCATTTCTATTGTTGTATTTTGAAGGCTGTAGACTATCCATCTTTAAACAAATAATTTAGTTTTTTAATACTGATTTTTTCTTCAAACAAAGTGGATTATACCTCTTTGTGGAAATTTTCATTTGATATTAGAGATTGCAGGTTATTTTTTTCTAATTTAACTTATTGAATTTGTTTGAATTCTCTATAAAAAAAAAGATTATAGATGCTACTCTTAGCAGAAGTGAGAATAGATTCGTATCTATAACAGATCTTCATAAGCTTGTAAATATTCTAAGAGTAAAAATCTCATATATTTCTAATATAAATTATAGAGGTTTTACTCTTATATATATAAAAGAAGTCCAGAGTCTACATCAAGAAGTTGTGTAATTGAAGAAAACAAGTAGATCAGCTTCACGACCAAATTCAAGAAGTCTTCCTTTTATAATTATAAAGGAAAGAAGAATTAGTATGCTTCAAAAGTTGGATGGAACAAGATCAAAATTTTGAAGATCTTTGCAATAAATTAAGCTATATTTAAGATTGTATCTTGTTCAATATCCTAATGGATTTAATCAAGTTGAATTCATATGTACTATTCTATCAAGAAATGATCTTTTTTGGTTTGAACCTATGATAGAAAAAAATTCGTGTCTATTTTATGATTTAAATTTATTTTTAGAAATATTTATTGCTATATTTGAAAAAAGTAATTATAAAAGGATAACAGAGACTAAGCTTGTAGCACTACAATAAGAATCATGTTTAGCCACCATATATGCTATTAAATTCTAAAATCTTTCTTGTAATGTGGATTAAAATAAAAAAATCATTACCAATCAATTTTAATATGGATTAAAAGATAATATCAAAGATTTATTGTTGACAATGTTGAGAGCAAATTTATTGGAGCAATTTATTACTTAAGTCATTGCATACAAAAATTGGCTCTTTGAAAGATGTTTAAGATAAAGATTTGATTGGAGAAGTACAAGTCAAGCCATAGCAATACCTTCTAAGTTTTTAAAAGCTTGCTGTCATAGATATAATATATAAGAAACTAAACAAGGAATTGAACAAAAGAATTTCAATAAAAAAACTAACAAAAACTTGATTAAATTAGATGAATCAAGATTAACATCAAAAAAGGTGAACTAAAAATCCAAAAAATATGTTGTCAAGACTAAAGATCTCCTTAGCCTTCACTCTAATATATACTAGATATTAGGAAGTTTCTCAAGAAATTTCCATATTGTTTGAATGTCACGGACATAATCATGTAAGCTAGTAATTACATATACAAATATGTAGAAGTAAGTAAAAGTAGATAAAAGTAAGTAAATTCTATAGTATTTAATATGAAAGCTTCCTAGAAGCTTCATAGATGCTGCTTTGACTTCATAGCTGTCTTTAATTGACTTTTTCCATTCGAAACGTGGTCAACAAGTTGGCCATGTGCCACACATGTTGTTAGCTTGAAGATCAAGCTAACTATGTGGCCCACACGTAGAAGAACTTGCCTTGTAAGTCAAGGCATGTGTCCTATAAAGTCAACACATATTGGAGGTCCTATAGAACGTCGCCACATAGCCCCTAGTTAGATAGTATATATAGAGACAAGAGTGAAGGCTTCTTCACTCTTGTCAACTCCTTTCTTGCTTCCAGTCTAGTTTCAAGGATCTCTAGTTTTCTTGTCTTTTGGCAATAGCCATTCCACTTTCTCTTTCAATATACATACTTATTTATTTATATTTTATTTTCTTTTTTTGAGTGAAGGCTCACTTGTCTGAATTGTTTTTTCATTGAGTTCTTGTCCTTGACAGATTGACAAGAGTACACCTACAATATCAGAGCTTTGTCTAATCTTGATTAAAAGTGGATTACCTCCTTTTTTTTGATAAGATATAAGCATATTAGAAGTTACGGATTACCCTCTTCTAAACTGATATTGTCCTTAGTATTTTCTTTGTTCTCAAGTCCTCTCTTCTATTTGTCTTGAGCGATATTAGACATCTTCTCTCTTCTAAGTATTATCATGGCAGAACTTGTTGAAATGAAGAGTGCAATGGCACAAATGTAAGAGCAATTGAGGGAGTTAATGCTTGCGATGCATCAACTCAATTTACCACCACAAGGAGCAACAAGATTGGCAGGAAGTGAAGATATAGAAATGGTTGGAGCTGCTTCAACATCTGCACCAAACCATGTCCTTTCTCCTATGGTGGAACGCCCTTCAAATGTTAGAGAACCAAGAATTGCCCTACCCAAGAAGTTTGATGGCACCAGATCCAAGTTTCGAGGATTTATCAATCAAGTACAACTTGTGATTGAACTTCAACCCCAAAGCTATCCAACTTCAAGATCGCAAGTTAGATTCATTGGTACGCTTCTTTCAGGTTCAGTACTATCATGGTTTTCATCTTTTCTTGAACGACGAGATCTAATATTAGATAATCTAGAGGTTTTTTTGGCGGAGTTTCGATCCATGTATAGAGAACATGATGCAATTCATGTTGCAACCAATAAGATCCATATTTTATGACAAAGCAATCGATCAGTAACGTTATATGCTTCACAATTTCGACAACTTGTAACTGATATCAAGTGGGATGATGCTGCACTTATTAGCCAATTTCTCTACGGATTACAATATGAGGTAAAAAAATTAATGCTCAACTTACCTGATCCTCAAACATTGAGTCAAGCAATTGACTTTGCTGTGAAGTGCGACAATCACCTTTTTGAATTCCAATCTGAGAACCATACAAGTGGACCTCAATGTTACTGTAATTCAATGGCAACACCAACACCTCTTTAACACATACATTCGGAAGTAGAGGATATGCAAATTGATGCAGTACGTTTCAAATCTCTTACTGAGCAAGAAAAGACTCGTCGTCGTCAAGAAGGATTATGTTTATATTGTAGAAAACCAAAGCACACTGCTCAACATTGTCCAAAGAAACGATGCAATCACAAAATGAGGAGTATAGCTATGAAAGAAGACAATATGTCGGAAAACGAGTTTGTCCAGCTACAATAGGGACCGTGCGGCTGGAACCTTGCACAACATCTAGTAAAGGTCCTATTCTCTCCTCAGAGCCCTCTCCTTGTTTTACATTAAATGTTATTTTAGGACCTAAACATTACAAAGTCTCTACCTTGTTAGATTCAAGAGCCTCAGCGTATTTTTTAGATGAAGAATTTACTAAAAGATATAGCATATCTTTAGTAAAGAAAACAAAATATGTTCATGTAGAAGTCATAGATGGTCGTCCATTGTCTTCTGGAGATATTACTCATGAAATCCTTCCTATAGAAGTAATAATCAATGGTCATAATAGTTTTGTAGTATTTAATATCATTAGATCTCCCTCTAATCCAGTCATTTTAGGTTTATCATGGTTAGAAAAATACAACCCTCAAATAGATTGGATTTTCCGAACTCTTACTTTCTCTAAAAGTATAACTAATAGTGTAGTTAATCAAATAGAGAGTCATAAGTCCAGTTCAATTAAACCCGTATTTATAGGTACAAAAGCTTTCTTACATACTGCTATGAAAGAATCACCATATATTATTTATGCCACACCCGTTTTTACTGGTGAAAAGACTTCAAGTGGCATTCCAAGCCAATATCAAGAATTTCAAGATGTATTTGAAAAAAAGAATGTGGATACACTTCCGGAACATCGTCCCTATGATTGCTCAATTGACCTTCAAGAAG